TGAGGATTTTTGATTTGTTGTTTAAATTTTTAAAAATCATGTACCCAATTAATTGATTTATTCTTTATTGGTGAAATCATTTAGAGATATACATTTTCCTCTGAGGACTGCATCAGTGCATCTCATAAGTTTTAGTATGTTGTCTCAGTATCATTTTCTTTGGTGAAATGTGTTGTTTTCTATAATTTATTCTATAAACAACCAGTTCTTTAAAATGGAATTACTTTGTCTCCAATTACTTTCAAGTCCTTTCTTCAAAAGCCTTTTATTTAATATTTTTTTCAATGTAATCAGTAGGTCATATGTTTAGTATTTATGCTTTTATGCATTTCTGTGAGTTATTTTTTTGTCCTAGAATATTGTCAGTTTTTTTTTGTAAAGGTGTATAAACAGCTAAGAAGTATCTAAATTCCTTTCCATTCCCATTCAGTAATCACTTAGAGATCTATCATGTCTAAGTTTTCTAAAGTTCTGTTCAGGTACTTAACTTCTTTGTTGTTTATCTTTTGGCTATATTTGTCTAGGTCTGAAAGGAATACACTAAAGATTAATTTTTTAAAGATTATCTATTTCTTGCAATTCAATTAGCTTTTCTTTTAAGTATTTAGATGTTATACTATTTGGTGCACATACATTAAGTTTTCATATTGATTTATTATCTATGGTGCCTTTGAGCATAAAGTAGCTTTTCTGCTTATAATTTTTGATCATATCTATATTTGTTGTAACCTTACCTGAAATTGTGATTGCATACTCTACATTTTTGAGTTCAGTTGAAGAATAATGCATTTTATTCCAGCCTTTCATTTTACCTTATGTGAAATTTTATGTTTCAAGTATGTTTTCTATAAACAATATTGTGCTGTATTCAGTTTTTTAAGGCAATCTGCTATACTCTTCCATTTTATGAATGAATTAATCTCATTCATATTCACATTATAATTAATTGTGTAGTTCTTTCCATTCTGTTCTTTTCTCCCCCTTGTCCTCTTAATTTTCCTCTCTTTGCTCCTATTCCCATATTTACAGATGAGAAAAAGTTGGTATAGAGGAAGTTTGCCTAACACTTAGGTCTCTGAATGTAACAAGCTCTTTCTGTTCTGTTATCCCTCTTCTCTTCCACTTGCCCTGTCCTGATCCCAGTGGTTTTCCTCTTTTTTCCTTTCTTTTTAGTCCCCCTCCCCATCCCTTCATGTTCCCCTCTGCAGCACTGGAATTTTTTTTGCTTATGACTATTCTCTTACCTATCCTGACCTCTCTTTTACACCCCATGTCTCTTTCCATTTCGAGGTTTCCTTGGCAAAGATACTGGAACGGTTTGCCATCATTCAGACCCCCATGCTAACATAGATCAGAGAAATCCTACTAAGGGCCTTACCATTCCCAGTACATGGAAGACATGACTCATCTACTCTGGATTAGCATCCATTGTCTTTGGATAGAACCTGGGTAGAACATATATAACCCACAATAAAAGGAATAAACTCCTGAATTACTAGACATCACAAGGGAAGAAGAATTTGAGAAAGTGTTAAATCCTGAAACAACCTGTTAAATCCTGAAACAACCTGTTCTCAGCATATGTGGCTAGAGTTATAAAGGATGAACCACCCTTGGCATGATAAATGTGGATTAGATTAGGTGGCTAGGGAAGAAGAGTGCTCTGGGCACTAGTCTTGATTTATATAATAGGCATATGTTTGTTCAATGACCTGGATAAGTAGATCCGCTACTCCATTTCTATAGTTTTCAACATCAGATGAATCATGGGGCAGGGGTTTGGGAGTTGGGGAGAGACACTTCTTTAATAAGCTTTGCCCAGATATCAAAATATTTAGGGGCTCAGCCTCATCAGCACCATGGTCAGTGCTCTGCTCCATGACTCGGCCAGCCTCAGTGATGCTAATTGTTTCTACTGATCAGTACTTCCACTTTTAGCACTCATAAACCTCCTATTTAATTAATATTCCATTTCATAGTTTTCAGGGGTTTGAAATTGATCTTACAGGACTATAGTTTGCATAACACATTTCAAACTTTTGAAAATTGAGGCATTTGCTTAATTCCAATCTTCAGTTCTCTAATCTCCAAAATTCTTCAAAAAGTTAATTTTTTAACAAAGCTTGATTATTCACTTTTGCAAGGTAACACAGTAGCATTGTTAGGGAACCATTTTTAGGAGACCTAAATCCATTTAAATTATGAGGTGTTCTCTTATTTTCTCTTTATGTGGTATTCATTCTAATTTCTTCTTAATTAGGTTTATTCTCATCTTTTCAGTCTGAGGACCATATTCCTTTCTTAAGAAGATAGAAACAATATGGCATTTGAGTGGCTCTGCCTTCTTTTGTCATTTAAAAAATTTTTTTTTATTCTTCTTGATATTAGCATAATTTTAAATGCCAACTTTTTTTTTATTAGTATTCTTTCCAAGCCTCTGCATATTCTTGTGCCTTTCTTGAGAATCTTACCAATCTTTTGTATTCTTCTTTGGTTATGTGCCACTGCTTTCATCATTTATGCATTTCTTTTTGAACATCAGCTAAGAGTTTGTTATGAAGCTACATCAGATTCTTTATACATTTCCCCTTCTTTTTTCCTTATTAGAATCATTCATAATTGTAGTCTCAGAATTCCATCCATTCATCTCTCTTGAGCCAGCTCCCTTTCACAGTTTCTTGCTATGGGATTATACCTATACATCACTCTGAACTTTTTGGTATCTACTTTATCAAAGTTAGGATAGACTTTTGGAAGCATATACTCTCCACCATTACCTAGAAATGGTTATTTCCTTAGAAAGTGGTGCTGCCACTAGAAATGATGAGAAATATATCTAATTTAAAGGAGACTAGAAGGTATTATAACTTGAATGATTATCAGAAACAACTGAGTGCTATACATTGTATGAATTCTACATGGAACTCAGACTGTCTACAGTCCTAATATTTAGTCCTCCAGACTACCTGCAAAATAATTTCTTTGCTTATTTCCCAAAAACTATTTGGTTCTGACAACAGCCCTCTATTTCTGATGTAGAGACTATCTTCTATCTCTAACCCCTCTGTTGGACCCCATGTTTTCAGCAACCAACTTTGACTCTAGATGATCAATTTGATGATTTTGGAACTTCATAAATGGGAATCTTTCCACCTAGGCATTTCCTTTGCTCCTCAGTCTGAAAGTCTTCAACCATAACCGTGAAAGGTGTTCAGTTCCTGACTATACTAGGTCCTGGAGAAATAAGGTTAATAGTGTTCCTTTCCTTGATTTACGTTGTCTAGATGACACGGTAAAATTGCCTTCCCCCTCCCAAATTCCCATGATTTCAATTTTATAAACAAGTTCTTATTGAGCAGACATAAATCCACAATAGAAATTCCCTTCACTGCTTCATTTATCTTCAAAACAGAATGAATTGCTTCTAAGACAAGGATTTATAAATTGCCATACTTTTGCAGAATGAGACTTATAGCTGATATACAGGTAATTTAAACCCTCTATCCTTACTACATCACGCTTCAATATCAATTCTATGATATGAATTAAGAACTCATCATCTATTTCCTCTATCTGATTAAGTTGGTGCAGTGGAAAAATGGAGGGCTGGCCCGGAGTCAGGAAGATGTGAGTTCAAATCCAGCCTCAGACACTTCCTAGCTGTATGACTCTGGGCAAGTCACTGAACTTCTGTTTGCCTCAGTTTCCTCATCTGTAAAATGAGGATAATAGTACCTATTTACCAGGGTCATTATGAGGACCAAATGAGACAATAATTGTAAGATGCTTAGGACAGTGCCTGACACTTAGTAAGTGCTATATAAATGTTAACTGCCTATAGTGTATTTCCATCACGACATCACTTACATTTCATTTATTTTTACCCAAGTGGATTCTCCTTAATTTTATGGATTTTTACATAGGTATGTATGCAGTGTTACTTCACTGTCTCTTCAAGGAGGTCAATTTCTGGCTCTTTTTTTTTTTTAACAATGCTTCCTCTTTCATTGCCTTTCTCCAGTCATGGGTTCCATTTCATCAAATTTCAATGATTTCTGTGGGGTCATATTTACTTTCTTTACCTTTCCTTTCATTTTGTTATTACCCATGTTCTTTTCATTGGTGGGCAGACATGTGAAAGAATAAATATTATACCTGACTTCTTTACAACTTGTTCTTTCTATGAGTTACTATGTAATTTTCCTTCCACTTTCCTGTCAAATCCTCCATAGTATCTGGGTTTATAGTTTTCGTTGTTTTCATGCTTTAGTCATTTCGGCTGTGTCTGACTCTTCATAACTCCATTTGGAGTTTTCTTGGCAAAGATACTGGAGTAGTTTGCCATTTCTGTCTCTAGCTCATTTTTACAGATGGGAAAACTGAGGCAAACAAGGTTAAGTGACTTGTCTAGGATCACACAGCTAGTAAGTATCTGAGACCAGATTTGAACTCGGAAGGATTAGTCTTTCTGACTCCAGGCCCAATACTCGATCCATTATGTCACCTAGGTGCCTGGGTTTATAGTAGTTTTTTTTTTCTAATTTTTTAAACTTCATATTCAGATTCAGCTTAATGTTTTCTTGTAGAGCAGAGTGCAGATTCTAATATCACTGAAATTTCCTTATTTGAAAATCAATATCATATCTTCTTGGGTCAAATGTTTGGTTCTTTCTCACTTCTCCTGTGTTTTTTTCCCTTAATATAAATGAATTGACATATTAATTATAGCACCTACCACAGGGCTTAGATAGAGATGAAAAGGGAGACAATTCCAGGCCTAGGGGACATTCAGTGAAAATTCAGAGTCAGGAAATGAAGGGTCTTCTTTGAGGAGCAACAGTGTCACTGGATAGCAGAGTATGTGGAGGGGAATAAGATGAGAATACTGGAGAGATAAGTGGGGGCCAGGTTAAAAAAAAAAGGAAGGAGGCTTTAAAATTCAAACAAGTATTCAGATGAAAAGAAGGTGCCAGTGAACACTTTTGTTTCCCATTTCTCAGTGTCAGGTCACAGATCCAGGGTGTCCTGAGAAGGTGACTTGTGTCCAGGGTTGGCGTTCTGGGCTAGGGAGTTGTCGTAAGCCCTCAGTGGTGTACTAAGAGAGAGGCAAGTCCAGAGGTAAGTAGCAACTGTGTGGCTCAGACCCTAGGAGCAGAGTGAGGTCTTGGTTCCAGCTTCTATCCCAGTCTAAAGCCTGCAGAGAAATAAGCAGGGCAGAGATCACAGACCAAATGGCAGCCTACGATTCTGATCGCTCTGATGTGGTAGTAATAGGAAACTTCATTTCCCTGCTGGACACCTGCAGGAGTTCTCTCTCTATCAAGAGCTGAGCAGCTCAGTCCTTGTCTGGCATGCATAATAATTTTACCTTTCAAAAGTTCAGAAACTAAAGAGCAAGAGTTGCTATTTTGGACTTCCTCACTAACAAGGAGAAACCAGATACTGAGGTAGGATGTTGAGAGTCAGGAGAAAGTTACCGTCGTAGAATTTGTGATCATGAAAGAGAGAAAGGTCAAGCAAAGTGTGAGATAAGAGACGCTCAGTACTTGGCAAACCTGAAAGCACTATATAAATGCTACTATTACTATTGTTGTTGTGATTCCTTGATTTGGGGTGAGTAGGTTTCAAAGGGTCCAGGAAAAGATTTCATGGCTTAAAATTCCACAGAGGAAGTCAACCCAGGTAGGACAGGAAGTCCTTAAAGACAAAATTCTAAAAAATTAATTCAGCTGATCAGGAAAGGGGTAGCTATCTCAAAAAAAAAAAACCTGATGTAGATGCAGAGTGAATTCCGCCAACTTATACTTTTAAAAGACATGTATATACGATGAAAACATGGGTGAGTGATAATTAGAACTGGCCCCAATGTATTGGGGCTGGCAGGAAATGTATTTTCCCACAGAATGAGCAGGGGTTCTTGGGGGAAGACAGGGGTGTTCAAGTACAGTTAGGATTTGAACTTCTGAGGTTCCTTCCAACTTAGAGATTCTTCAGTATTTTCTAAAATTCATTTTCTGGGGGCAGCCAGGTGGTACAGTGGATACAGTACCTGCCCTGGAGTCAGCTCTGCGACCCTGGACAAATCACTCAACCCTGATTGCCTTGCTGGAAAAAAAATTCATTCGCTGCCTTTGTGGGGTTCACAATCTAGTAAGAGAGATAAGATAGACCCATAGATGAAAAATAAACAAAGATGGTAAAGAAAGTATATGAGAATGAAATCTTTCCTGCCTCTAACTTTCTTTGATTCTGTGGAATCCCTCGAACCATTTAAGACTCAGCTTGGAGGCTACCCACCTACCCCACAAAGCCTTTTCTGAGTCTCACAGCTGCTGGTGCCTATCCTCCTATAATAACCACCTTGTATTCATTTTGGACATTATATATACTTATATGAATATGCGTTTCCTATCCCAATAGATTGTAAGGTCATTGAAGGCAAAGGCTGATTGATCTTTGCCTTTATATTCCCAATGCATGGCATTTAGTAAGTGCTTAATTAATTTTTATTGATTGAATGGTAGGATGAATATAAACAAAGCGCTATAAGAGTTCGTGGGAGAGCTGAGAGTCTGTCTCCCCTGGCTGGGGACAGAGTAGGAAATCAGGGAAGGCTTTGCTGAAAAAGGCTGAATTTGAATTGAGCCTTAAAAAAAGGTAGAATATCCAGTGCCATACCAATCAAACTACCAAAAACATTTTTTTATAGAGCTAGAAAAAATAATAAAATTCATCTGGAAGAAAAAATGGTCAAGAATATCAAAGGAATTACTGAAAAAAATGCAAAGGAAGGTGGCCTAGCTGTACCAGATCTAAAACTATATTGTAAAGCAGCAATCATCAAAACTACTTGGTACTGGCTAAGAAATAGAGTGGTGGATCAGTGGAATAGGTTAGGTACACAAGACACAGTAGTCAGTAACTATAGTAATCTACTGTTTGATAAACCCAAAGACTCCAGCTTCTGTGATAAGAACTCACTATTACAAAAACTGCTGGGAAAACTAGAAAGTAGTACGGCAGTCACTAGGCACAGACCAACACCTCACACCATATACCAAGATAAGGTCAAAATGGGTACATGATTTAGACATAATGGGTGATACCATAAGCAAATTAGGAGAGGAAGCAATAGTTTACCTGTCAGATCTATGGAGAAGGGAAGAATTTATGACCAAACATGAGATAGAGAACATTGTGAAATGCAAAATAGATAATTTTGGTTATATTAAATGAAAAAGGTTTTACATAAACAAAATACAATTTCAATCCAAGACAATTTCAAAAGACTTATGATGGAAAATGCTATCCAAATTCACAGAAAGAAATATAGAGTCTGAATGTAGATCGAAGCATACTATTTTCACTTTAGTTTTTTTTTTCTTTCTCATGGATTTTATCTTTTGTTCTGATTCTTCGTTCACAACATGACTAATGTGGAAATATGTTTAACATGATTGCACATGTATAACCTATATGAGGTTGCTTGAGAGGGAGGGAAAGAGAAAAATTTGGAAATCAAAATCTTATGAAAAATGGATGTTGAAAACTTAAAAAAAAAAAGGTACAATATCAACCAGCAGAGATGGAGGCAGTGGAGGAGATAAAGACCTACTAAGTGTCAGGACTAGAGATATATAAAGGAGGGATATTTTATGATTCGAAAGAGAGGAAGTCTGCTCAGGCATTGTCTTTTTAGTCAAAGCTATAGGATGCTTTCAAGGCTTCTTGAGGTAAAGAGACATAGCATTCTGACTCATCCCCACTTCCAGCACTGGGGAGAAGTCTGGATGCTGATATATACATATATGATTGCTTACCTGGAAATGAATTTTTTTTTGAAAACCCATAATATTTTAATGTGTTATTCACAAAAGCAGGGGCATTTGTTGTAGTGCCCTGGATACATTCCAAGGGATTTCTTTTTTCCTTTGTAAATCCTCTCCACCTTTTGGAGGGGCAAAGTTTTGGTCACATACTATTCATTAATCTAACAGTGCCCAGAACGTTTGGATGGGGGATGGGTTGGGAGGAGTCATTCTAGGCTTACGGCAGGCTGAGAGTCAGGAAATTTGGGTTCCAAATTTATCATCAACTGGCTCATTTTTTGGCCCTGGGAAAATAATTTTTTCCCGTGGGTCTCAGTGTCCCAGTCCATGAAATAGGGATAATAAACTCTGTCCTAGAAATGTTAAAGAGGAGAGGATTCATAGTAACATTGTAACATACAGCATAGTAACATAGACATTTAGGGACTAAAGATTCTGATTTCATATACATACATATATATATGTACATACACATATATACACATATAAAATGTATACATATACGCATAAGTATGTATATGTGTGTATGTATGTGTGTATTTGTGTGTGTGTATAAGGCAGGGTGGTGCAGTGGATAGAGTGCTAGGCCTAAAGTCAGGAAGGCTCATCTTCATGAATTCAAATCTGACCTCAGACATTTACTAGCTGTGTGATGCTGGGCAAGTCACTTAACTCTGTTTGCCTCAGTTTCTCATCTGTAAAAATCAGCTGGAGAAGGAAATGGCAAAACCACGCCAGTATCTTTGTCAAGAAAACCCCAAATGGGGTCATGAAGAGTCAGGTGCAATTGAGAATCAACAAATGTATGTATACATGCATGCATGTGGATATATATAGATAAATATTTATTATGTCAAGTATATACATCCAAATGCAAGTTATCTTCCTTATACTTCTGGAATAGGAAAAAAATTCTCAAATTAGGCAGATATAGCATCTCTGATATATTTGGATTTTTTTGTTTGTTTTTTTGCTAGGCAATTGGGTTAAGTGACTTGCCCAGGGTCACACAGCTAGTAAGTGTCAAGTATCTGAGGCTGGATTTGAATTCAGGTCCTTCCGACTCCAGGCACATTGCTCTATCCACTGCACCACCCAGCTGTCCCTGATATACTTGTATTTTAAAAACAAATCAGTAATATACAGCTAACACTAAGGAGAAGACAAATCTTAGGAGAACAGAGTAGCTAAATAGTGAAGCAGAAAAAATAGGGAGATCTTATAGCTGGATCCCATTAAATATCACTTTGCTAAGCTTTGGGCTTATACTGTCAAATTCCTTATGCTATCCTTACGATGTGTGGGTTCATAGAAAGTGTGATGATCCTTGTGTTGGGCACCAGTGTCATCCTGAGTTACTCCCATGATTCCAAAGAGAGGCAGTGAAGCACAGTGGATAGAGCACTGGTCTTGGATATGCAAAGACTTGGGTTTGAATTCTATCCCAGACATGATGTCACTTAATTTCTCTAGGCATCAGTTTCTTCATTCGTAAAAAATTGAGAGTTAGGCTTATGACCTCTAAGGCCCCTCCAGCTCTAAAGCTAGCCTCCTGTGATGTCTCTCACTAACACAGAGCCTAGGTCTACTCTGAGCTCCAAATGATAAGTCAACTGCCCTTATTGTCAGAGTCTGCCCAAGTTCCCAGCTTGCCACTTGGGTTTCTTGGCTGGCTACGGGGGTCATTGGTATGACCAACAATGCTGCCGTTCTTCTACATCCCTCCAAGACTCACAGAAGGTCGGCAGGTGCCATTGCCCTATTACCTCCCTCCCTACCAGTTCTTTGTTACCTGTGGATCCAGGGAATGACGTGATTGCTCCTTTTTGGATCGTCTTTTTTGGGTCCATTAGAGCCTGATCATCTCCCTGCTCCTTGGAGAACAGGGCAAAGCACCGATTTCCATTCTCATTCCTGAGAGGCCAGGTGTGCAAGAGTTTCTTTTCTCTATTTTTCAAATGGGAAAAGGGAAGGAAGGGAACGGTCATTTATCAAACACCTGGTACGTGCCAGTCACTTAGCTAAGCACTTTACAAAGGCAGGAGAAGGCGAGTATATCACCCAAAGCTGGTGAGACTCACACCTGAGGTTTCCTGACTCACGACCTTCCCACTATTTAATATTCTTTGATGCGTCTCCCTTACATTTATTTACCTTTGAGACGATCCATTTACACATCTCCTGGGCTCCCTTTCAGGAAACCTAGGGATTTTCCAGACTTACTGGGGGCACCCGAGTTTTCTCGCTGCCTGCATTATGACTCAACCTTTAGGCCCTTTGGGCTGGGTTTAAAAACAAGGGGCTGCCATGGTAACAGAGATAACAATAACTTCAGCATAAGCAAAATAAGGAGCCAAGCTGCAAGATCTGCACAAGCTGCTGTTTGTAGGAATGTTCCTCATCAAATGATATATCAGGCCATTCCCCCTCCCATTCCTTGCCTGAAACTTAATTAATCATGTTTGCATCTGGATTCAGACAAGACAATAGCAGAGATGTGTTTCTGGTTAGGAACTGAAGCGGCATTCACAAAGGAATGTGGATTAGTTAGTGGTCAGTATCATTTTTCATGCCCTTTTTAAGTTATAAAAAATTTTAATATCAAAGCTTTTTATCCCGTGGCTACACATATCTATTTCTTGTAAGTGCATTCTGCTGGTATAATGTTCTTTTCCTTCCTGGAGGCTCTCTTTATGAGAGATGATCTATTAAGTTGTCTGGGGATCTCCATCCAGCCCATCAGTGAACAGAGGCATTCCAGGTGAACTGTGTGTTGCAAGCACGGTGATAGACTACTGTGGCCTGGCACCATTTGGAAAGAGAGTGGTTGAGGGGGCTGGACCTTAGAATCTAGGATGGAACAATGTTTAGCAGGGATGCCCAAGATTAGATCTCAGGTGAGAGAACATATATGGGGGGGGTGGATCATACTCTGAGGTAAAGTAGACACAGAACAGTTATTTCTTCTCATTAATGCCACTCCTCAGAGGACCTGAGTTCAAAACTGCAGCCATGTGTGGCCATGGACGTCATTCCTGAACCCCTCTGAGATTCAGTTTTCTTGCAAAATGTAAATCTTACCTTATAGGGCTGCTGTGAGGATAAAATGAGATAATACATGTTTGATACTTTGTGAATTTAAAAACTCTATATAAACATTAGATTCCCATTATTCTTCATTAAATAGTGACTATGGTGGGAATAATAGTGATAGTGTCTCCTAAAGAGAATACCTTTTCATTCCCTCTGGTACCTCCTGCATACATCTGCATGCTGAGATCCATCTTAAATTCTGAACCAGGAAAACACCCGAAGTCTGGGAAAATCCCTTAATGCAGGAAACGTGTCCTAATGTGTACAACATGCCCATATGTGTAGAACATGTCATGTCACAGGTGATAAGTCATGATAGAAAGAGCCTGCCCTAAAGTGGGGGACATTGGATAATGCCGAAAATATGTGGCAGTGCCAGAAATCTGCCCTGCTTTCTTCCTCTCTGGGTAAATGGTGATTGAGAAGACAAAGGAGATCTTATCGCTTATCTGCCTCTGGCTCCTTTCAGGACGCCGCCAGGCCTGGGTGAGATACTAGGACCAAACTGGGAAACACCATCGACCAGTAAGCTTTAAATTATTAAGCACCTATTTGTGCCAGGCACTGGGTTAGTTGTTAAGGATACAAATTTTAAAAAATAAAATAATCTTTTAAGGAATTTACATTCTCTTAACAAAGACAGCATGGACTTTTTATATAAAAATACAAGATAATTGGTGAAAAGAAGGCATTAGCTGCTGGTGGTTATCAGGAAAGGTTTCAGGCAGAAGGTGGCATTTAATTGGAGTGTTAAAAGATAGGGGGTGGAACTTAAGAGTCAGAGGTAAGGAGAGAATGCATTCCAAGCATGGGAAAAGCCAGTTCTAAGGCAGGGAGATGGGATAAGAAGCATTACGTGTGAGGAATAGTAAGTGAGCCAGTATGGCTAGATCTGTACAGTGTAAAGACTGAACAGCATTGGCGTGCCTTCCCTACTCCCTGCCGATCTCCCAAATAGACTTAGTAATAACAATGACGACAAAACGATAATTCATGATGCTCATAATCATTCACACTTATATTGTTTTTTATGTTTTACAAAGTTCCTTCTCTATAGGTTTCACTGAGCTGGTCCAGATCTCCCAGAGCCTTCTGCCAAAGACATTGTGATGGGGCTAGTGATTAGAGCAGGGAGTAATATAAGCACAAGAGTCCCTTATCCCAGGTCCAGAAGAAGTCACGAGTTATGTAATGGGTGTGTGTGTGTGTGTGTGTGTGTGTGTGTGTGTGTGTGTGTGTGTGTGTGTGTCTAGGTATGCGTGCATGTGTGCACAGAACTCCAGGTGAGGAAACCACACTGTATCAAATATAGATCGTCATCTTCTCTGAATTTCAGTCTTATAGAATTTCCAGGGATGCTGAGAGGGCAAGCAACCAGATCACCCAATCACACAACTGGATCACACAATCAGTATCAGTTAAAGGTAAGACTCGAATCCAGATCTTTCTGCCTGTGAGGCTAGATCCCTATTTATTCTATCAGGCTGCCTCAAGAGCCATGGATACCACAACACACAAACAGCCATCGCAGCAACAACATGCATATATATTGCTTTTTAAGGATACCCTCCTGCTCTATATGTGTGTGTGTATAAATAGAAAGAACTTTAAACTCTTAAAACCTCACCAAACCTTCTGTGGTATCCTCTGTATAGAAGCCTGGGTTAGAAGCCTGGAAAAACTGCACAAATTGTACACAAGTAGGTCAGTTTGGGGGCCTTGGAAACAAATGGGTCTTTTTCACAATTTCCTGTTAATGTAACCAAAAGGCCTGTGGGCTATACGACTCTGAAGTGGCCATGGTAAAGAGCCGTAGGACCCTCTTCTATCACAGATAGAAGAATGGGCAACTTAGCACATCTCAGAGGTAATATTTGTGGGGAGGGGATTTTAGCACACACACACACACACACACACACACACACACACACACACTCACAGAGTCCCTTTTCAGGCTAGGGCTGAGGTTATAAATCTTGACATATAATCCTTCCATCCACTTATTCATTCATTCATTCATTCATTCAGTCTTTTGACAAACACGTATTAGTCATCTATGAGATACATATATACATATATATGGGAGAGAGAGAGAGTACTGTGCTAGGTTTGGGAAACTATATAGTTTACATTAAATATAGTGTGTTCTCTCACAGAACTTATAGTAAGGAGATAAAATATGAATGCACAAAACTCTAATGCCTAGTTTTATATGATAAAGCCATTATAAACCTCTAGAACAAAGTGCACATGAGGTCCAGAAGGGGTGTCAATTGATTTTTTTTTTACTATAGTTGTAGGACTTTACATCAACTCACATTTAGGAGGTTTGAGATTTATAAAGTTATTCATAATAACCTTAAAAGTACTACAATCCCCATTTTATAGATAAGGAATAGAGTCACTGAGGCTTAGGCCAGTTTAATAACTTGCTCATCTTCAAAGAGCTAGTAAACATCAGAGCTGAGATTTGAACCCAAATCTTCTTGACTCCAAGCCCAGCACCCTTCCCACTACTATAACGCACTGCCCCTCAGGACCACTGAAGTGAAAAAAAGTGATAAAAATGCTTTATACCGTACACATGATCTCATTTGAGCCTCATAACAACCTCACAGATGCTATGAATGTCCCCATTTTAGAGCAACAAATTTGTTCTGTGAAGTTTGGATTCAGTCAAAGGGTTGCACTCAAGGACCTAGAGGGCCACATGTGGCCTCGAGGTGGCAGGTTCCCCACCCCTGCACTAGGCCAGGAAGATTATACCATTCAGCCGGAGGCAGCAGGCACATCCTTTTTTATTCATTTTCGCCTTCACTGGGGTATCTTGTTGCTCTTAACATTTTTCAAAGGCTTTGGCTGGTGACACTATTCTTTTTTTTTTTTAAATTTTTAGGCAATGGGGGTTAAGTGACTTGCCCAGGTTCACACAGCTAGTAAGTGTCTAGTGTTTGCTCTGAGGCCGGATTTGAACTCAGGTCCTCCTGACTTCAAGGCCAGTGCTCTATCCACCGCACTACCTAGCTGCCCCTCTGATGACACTATTCTTAACAGTCCTTGCCTGTCCTTAATATTGTTCCTTAGTTGTGCCCCTTGTGTTAATATTTTGTCAGTGACCTTTTTGACCCTGAGTTCCAAAGCAGAGGCTCCTATTAAGCCACAGCAATCTCTTTGGATTCCTTCCTCTGACTTCTTCCTCATCAGCATGACTCAATAACACACATCCACTTAGCTGTCCCATCTGAATCCCAAATTCAATATAGTCAAAATGGAACCCACCCTCTCTTCCATTTTCATTGAGGGAACCATTAGCCTCCTAGTCACGCAGGTTAGTAACCTCAGATTCACCCATTATTCTTCCTTTTACACCTCTACATGCAGACTGTTGGAGTCAAGTCTCACCAATTCTACCTCCTCCATGACTGTCATAATTAACCCCTACTCTCCCCTCCCACTTATACTTCAGCTAAGCTGGGCCACTGGCTGTTATTGCCTGACCTCGACATTCTACCACCTGCCTCTTTTCATTCACATCAATGCATTCTTGGGCTATATTACATCCTCATCTCTTTTAAAAATATTTTTCTTTATTCAAGGCTTAGCTCAGATGCCACTTCCTTTGTGAAGTCTCCTCAGATCCCCCTAATGGTTAGTGGTCTCTCACTCCTCAAATTATTTATGTATCTGTGTGCATGTTGCATCACCCAGCAGTTGTTTCAGATTTTATTTTTATCTTTGTATTCCTGTGTCTTGTAGTGCCTTGTACATAATAAGTAATTAGCAACTGTTTGTTGAATTGTATTGTCAAAAACTTCTTTTTTAATATTATAGTTAGATTCTGAAACCCCTAGTTCAAAGAGAAAATATTACAAACAAGACAAAAATAATTTAAATATGGTGGAGCCACAATTAGAATCACAGAAGACCTAGCAATGGCTGCACTAAAAGACCACAGGTCTTGGAACACTATCTATCTAAGAGCAAAAGGACTGAAGTTATGGCTGAAAATTATCATACCCAGCAAAGTTAAGTATGATCCTGAATGGAAAAAAAGAATATTCAATGAATTGCCAGAGTTTCAAGATTTTGTTGCAAAAAGACCTGAAATCAACAGAAAATTTGGCATACAAGATCCAAGAGAAATATAAGGTAGACATCAAAGACTAATTACAAGGCACTCAATAAGGACAGACTGTCTGCTTTTTATATGAGGAAATGTAAATCGTTTGTCTAAGACTGTTATTAGTAATTGGGTAGTTCAAAAGAAGGGTTGGGGCAGAGCTGAGTATGATATGATATTAAAAAGTAAACCATCTAGGGAAAGGTAAAAAGAACAATTGTCTTATACAAATGAAATGTGAGAGGAAGAATTGGCACAGAAGAATTAGAAGAGGGAAGAGGGCTGGTAGTTGGAACTCTACTCTCATAAGGAATAGGTTAAAGAGGAAACAATACATATATATCTAGAAGGGCATAAAAGTCTTTTAAATTCAGAAAGAAATAAAAGGCTAAGGGGATGGGGGGAGAGGATAAGGGAGGGATTTTAGGGTGGGGGTAGGTTAAGTAATAGGAGCAAGGTAGCAGGTAGAAGTAAAGTAGAGGAGTCAGGAGGAATAGGCAATAGGAGATATACACAAACATAAAACAAAGATCAGGAGTATAATTTATTAGGGGAAAAAAAGCAGGGGCAGTAATCGTGATCTCAGACAAAGCTAAAGTAGATTTAATCAAAAGAGAAGAATAGGTAAATGACACAATGTCAACCATGTTAATCAATATTGTTTTAGACTATTTAAAATAACTAGTGCTATATATTTTGAATCTTCTCTTATGTTCTGCTGTGCATATGACAATGCTTTTTTTAAATCTAAGGTCATAAGTATTATTCAATTTCCTTGTGCCAATTATTTCATCCTGTGAATTATTAACCACTTTCCTTGTCATTTTTTTAATATCATATCAGGTTCGTTTTGTATTTTGACAAGTTTAGCTTAATAATTTTCTCCCTCCTCCTCCATTGTCATCATATTAATCAGACGTTCCTATTTATGGATAACAATTCTGCTGATTGAATCATCAAGTCCCAAGACATTGAAGAAATTTCTAGAAGAAATCTGTATTTACTTGAGAGTTTGGCTTCTCCATCCACACAGGGAAGACCAAATGGATGAAGAATCTCAGTTGCCCAGATTTCAGCATGCATTAGGATGGACACTCTATGGAGTTCCTCCAGCGGTAAGTATATCTCAGATAGACAAGATAGATGGACAATGATTTGGACTTAGAGTTCAACAACAGTAGGAGAGTAGACTAGATTGATTTCAGGAGACTGAAAAGATCTTTTACTGAACCCAAATTTCCCACAAGAGCAAAACAAAATTTTATAACAAAATCTTGTTAGAACATCTTGCTAGCCAGGTATTCACTTGCTATTTCTTCTTTTCCCTTCCATGGTTCCAACCTGTAAGTGAGAAATATGGTGTGAATTTGTACCTTCATTCTTCAGTTTCCTGATCAGGACTTCATAATCATGGGATCCTAGAATTCCAAATCTAGGAGATGGCAGGGACCATGTAGTTTAACCTGTCTCTTTCTTACCATACTATGTAACCTGTGGTCCATCACCCCAACTTCTGATATTATATAGACCAAGTTCAATATTGGACTTCCACCCACCTAAATCAACAACTCTTTGGCTCATATTATCCCTACTCAGAGTTGCTTATGGAAAATCTCAGACATAAATAAAATAAAACTCAAATATGGCTTAGGTTGATATCCCCATCGATGTGGGTAAAGATCCCATACAAGCATTTAAGGTGACAAGCATTTATATTGGATACAAGTTACACCACTTTAGAAAATGAATAAAACTCATAAAAGACTCAGTAGCCCATAAACAAATTCTCTTTCCCCTGGTGAGTCCCTTTCCCCCCCAGAGTCTTAAAGTCTTCCCAGCTCCCAGTATTGGGGTTTGGACTGCAGTGGAAAGACAAATTAATTTGGGGTTTCTAGGGAGGCAACCTCACAAAATCCTGATCTCTTTCATCCTAGATACCCACAGAAGGACTGAGCCTTATGGTACTATCCTAAGGTCATAGACTTCTCTTAAACTTGGGGATTCTAGATAGGCAATTCCTCAACATTCCGGCAAGTTCCATTTCACTCCAGACTTCCATCCAGTCATCCAGCCTTATGGCACTACTTTGAGGGCTTGGATTCCCTCATAAAGAAAATGAGAAGTAACTGTCTTTTCTGTTGTCATTCAGTCCTTTTTCAGTTGCATCCAACTCTTTTGTGATCCCATTTGGGATTTTCTTAGGAGTGGTTTGCCATTTCCTTCTCCAGCTCATTTGACAGATGAGGGAACTGAGGCAAACAGGGTTAAGAATCACATAGCTAGTAAATGTCTGAGACCAGATTTGAACTCCAGAAGTTGAGTTTTTCTGACTCCAGGCTGGGTACTCTATGCACTATGGCACCACCTAGCTGACCATATAAACCACACAAATAAGTCACCATAACAGAATAAGGCAAAATACAAGTCTTCTCTTCACCCATATCACAACACAAACTCTTCTGCTGCTCTTCCAGCTATGGATAAAATACTCTTTTCCCCTTAGAAGCCTGGTTCTGCGCAGGAATTCTCCTTCTCTTTGGGGATTGCTATACCCAGAAGTGGGGACTGGAAAAAAGAATTTTTAAAAGTCCCCATGCCTCAGTTTTCTCATCTATAAAAAAGAGATAACAGTACCTACCTCTCAGGGTTGTTGTGAGGATAAAATGAGATAACCTTTATGAAGTGCTTTGCAAACCTTAAAGTGACATATAAATACTAGCTACTACTATCACTACCAGTGTCTTTATACTAGTTTTGGTTCACCTCTACCTGTTCAGAATAATTTCCTTCCACTCTCTCTGTCTCTCTCTCTTTCTCTCTCTCTCTCTCTCTCTCTCTCTCTCTCTCTCTCTCTCTCTCTCTCTGTACACACACACACACACACACGCATGCACACACACACATACATACATACATTAACACAAAGATTTTTACTTGTGGATGATTTCTTCTAATACATTTTGAAACTTTTAATCCTTTCCAAAAAGCTAACATAGAAAGGTAATCCTTAAGCCCTTTCACCTTTTCTAGTCTCCGAGAGAGATCATTTCCCATTTGCAGAAGACATGGATGATATTTGCTTCCAGCAACAAATCACTGAGGCAGAGTTAAGTGACTTGCCCAGGGTCCCACAGCTAGTAAGTGTCAGAGGCTGGATTTTAATTCAAGTCTTCCTGACTCCAGCCTTGGTATTCTATCCACTGTGCCTGCCACCTAGCTGCTCCAGGGGTCAGGAGAGATCTGAGTTCAAATCCAATCTCAGACACTCATTAGTTGTGTGACCCTGGGCAAATCACTTAATCTCTGCTTGCCTTAGTTTCCTATTCTATAAATTGGGGATAAAAATAATATCTGCCTTGTAGGGTTGTTCTGAGGGTCAAATGACAATTATAAAGAACTTAGCACAGTACCTGACACATAGTTAAGTGCTACATGTTAGTGATTATTTGTGATAGTAATGATGACGGTGTACCTATCGCTCTGCTAAGTGTTAGGGATACAGAAACAAACAGAGAGACAAAGTCCTTGCCCTCCGGAAGCAGCCGTTCTAAGGAGGGAAGACATTACCTGAAAGGTGTATATGGGGGGCTGGTGGAAGTGGGAGTGTTTCTTGGTGGAAAAAAGTCAAGGAGGTCCAGAGTACAGACTGGAGAGGAAGGAAATGAAGGGATGGTTGGAGCCCTGAGACGACAATGAAAAATATATGCGCAAATATGTGTATGTATATATGCATGTGTATGTATATGTATTTGTACATATGTATGTGTATGCCTATATCTGGATATCTATAGCCCACAAATATACATACACAATACTTAATACACAGGTTTATATATATTTACACTCGCAAACACAAGACACATTTCTATGCATGCATGAAAATGTATAACGTATATGTATATACATGTGCATCCACATATACGTGGGAAAGGGGAGGCAAGGATGCCCAGCTATAACACTGGGCTTGCAGGCAGAACTTTGGGTCTAACGCAAGGCTACAGAGCTGGCTTGCCAGCGAATGAACACAGTTGCTAACGCCAGGTTGGTATGCCTTAGAATCCCATTTTGACAGAAGGCATACACAAGGAATAAACTAGTAAGGGTGTGGCTATGGAGGCATCCTGAGGCAGAGAATGCCCTGGCCGTGGCTTAATCCAGCTTCGATTCATGGACCACGGACCATGGGAGGAATGAGATCCTCTGGCGATAGGCCAAACCGAAACCCTGGCAGGGACACGGATGCCACCAGCCTTTCAGGTGGGCTAGGCTTCGGGGCCGGCCGCGATGGAGAAGGCTCTGGCCATGAAGCAGAGAGGATCCCCGACAAGAAATCTATCACTTGCTGACACTTTTACGACCCAGGCCCCCTCTTAGAAAATGCAGCTCCAGTGAACAAGCTCAGGTTTTTCCTGCCCAGCTTGAGATCACATGCTTGCCCTGGGGCTGCCACTTGGAGTCAGGGAGGCCCATATATTTCCCTACTCACATAGGCCTAGTGATTCTAGTCAGGTGCAGAAAGCTGATAAATCACCAGAGACGTCTCCTTGTATCTATCAGTCAGGAGGCTTGTCATTTCCTAGACCTTGATCCACATGAAAGCAAATGGAGAAACGGGAGAGGGCTGCGGAATGAGGAGGATGGGGAAACGAGGGAGTACCACCTGGCGGGGAGCTGGGGAGAGAGTCCTCGGCAAGTGTTCGCAGTTTGGAGGCAAAGCAGTGGAAATTTACACCTCCTCCCCCCCCCCACTGACTTCCTTTCCCTTTGAAGCTTGGAGGTGGCTAGGGCTGGGCTCAGGATTGACAGGGAGGTGGATTCTCTGGTCCTATCTGGCTTCCCTGGGGTGGGGGTGGGAGGCTAGTATTCCGATCACCTCGTCTTTGGAGATTTCTGCCAGGAGTTCAGGATGTCAAGGGGACCCACTGCTGCCTCCCTATTAACCCGAGTCATACGGAGGAGAATTCAATTCAAGGCTATTTCATCTTGGACAAAGCTCAGCCTGGGCTGGAAGTCAGGAGACCTGGGTGCTAGTCCGGCCTCACTCTGTCCCTTCCAAAGCTCTAAGACCTGAGAAAATGATTAAAAAATGATTTTGCCCCTCCCAGCCTACGTTGCCTCTCCATGAAATGAAGGAAAGAAAGCATGAATTCTTAACCTTTTTAGTGACAAAGGCGCCTTTAGTAGTCCAAACTACAGATGCCTTTTTAGAATAATTGTTTTTAAATGCACAAAATTAAAAAAAAACCCAACGGAATTACAAAGGAAACCAATTGTGTTGAAATGCAATTTTCAGAACACTTTTTAGAAAAACAAACTGATGCCCCCCTCCCTCCCCAGGGTCAAATAGCCCTGGATGATCTCAACATCCCTTTCTAGCGCCATGATTGTATCATTTCTTCTTCGATCGACGGCAATAGCATAGCTCAGCAGCCAGCAATATACTTAGGCTACATTCCCATCAGTCCCCCATGTTAACCTCCAGTCTACCATTTTCTTCAGGGACTAAAAGTCACCCAGCCACTAGCTAGTGATTAGAAGACACTATGAACTTTACAGAAGGGGCCGCTAGGTGGTGCAGTGGATAGAGTGCAGGGCCTGGAGTCAGGAAGACTCCTCTTCAGGGGTTCAAATCTGGCCTCAGACATGTTCTAGTTGTGTGACCGTGGGAAAGTCACTTAACCCTGTTTGCTTCAGTTTCTTCCTCTGTCAAATGAGCTGGAGAAGGAAATGGCAAATAACTCCAGTGTCTCTGCCAAGAAGACCCCAAATGGGGTCATGGAGAGTTGGACACAAATGAAATGACTGAGCAGCAACAATGGCTCATGTCATTATTAGCCCTCTATCGCTAGCCACTATTGGCCCACACCAAATCCCTGGAAGGACTTTAATGAGGGTGTACACACTATACACATATGTCCACATGTATAACACATATCTGTATGTATGCGTACATAGACAGTGTATATGTGTATATGTATATATACAATATGTGTGTATATGTATCCTGAATGTGAGTGTGTTTCTGTACGCGCACACACACACATACACACACACACACACACACACACACACACACACACACATCTCCCAAAAGTCTTTGTTCAGGGTTGTGTTA